GAAGGTACAGCCTGCTGTAGCCTCTGCCATGATCCAGAGAGCGGGTTATGTCTTCATACTGTCCTTATCGCTTCCATCAGTGTGTGCGAAGCTTAGTCTAATAACCTTTTTCCTGCCATATGTTTGAGGAGAGAAAGAAAAATCCACCTGTCCGCACCAAAGAAAAACAAAAGATCTCATTAGAGATACCAGCGAGGGCTGATCCTTCTACAGGGAGGCGATGAGACCAACATCAGAGCAGGAGGAGGATATAAAGCTAGGTGAAATATGTCATTTATACCGGTATACCAATAGTAGTCTCACGCAACATTATTGATTTTTTGGTTTAGAGGTATTGACAGATATATAACAAAAGCTATGTACGTCATTTGCTGGGTCCAGTACAAAGACACTCTAAAGGTGTTGGTATTGGCAGATAATTAGAAAACAATTATCAGCACTGGACAGATGTCCAAATTTCAATGATATTTCGGACTAACGTTTGATGATACATTTATTGTAATCCGAAAACTCAGAAAGTTCAAATGGCACTGGGCTACAGTGCTAAAATATCTGTATTTTATTCATTTTTCTGCATTTATGACACTACAGAATTACAGTATTACATTGCTCCACAATGGTAATCCAGGTAAATGTGGTCTCAGTTACTATAATTTATATTTTATACATTTTTATGTATTGGCATGATGGAAAATATCAAATATCAGCATCAGCGCACAATTTTTTGTGTCTGTTTATTGTTTACAACACTGTGCAAGGTCTCCTTTGGTGTAAACAGAATAGAAAAAAAACAGTCCAAATAAAACGATCCATCTTGGGTTTGTAAGAGGTTTCTACCATAAAATGGCAGTAACCAGCAATCACTATATTAACGCAATATCATCATGCTTTACATTATCATGCTTTACATTATCAACAATATCACTGTGATTTACTTGAAAAGCAATTTTATCGATACCACCCTGCACTACACAGAGAAAGAATGACAGGCAGAAACCATCAGAGATAGACGGATAGAAAAAAGAGACAGAGAAAGGGGCTGACTAAGAGAGAGAGAGTCAGGCGAGTGAGCACAGACAGTAGCTATTGTTCAGCGATCACCACCTCCAGTGACTCCACATGGCAGCTCAGCTCAAAGCTCACTCACAGGATGAGGGCATGCCGGCGCCGTTTGATCCCACCCCAGAAAACTGACAAAAGGAGGAGAGAAGCCGCAAACGACTCTCTGCCATTCCAGCGTCCAGCCCCGGACCCTGGCACTCGCAGACAGACCACTAAACATGGAACTGTTACCAATAACCACTCAGTACGTAAATAAGTAAGGAGCAATTACCAGTTTTAATGATAAACTACAGTGTAAAAAACAATGATCATCACCCCATTTCCAATTCGAATACACTAATTACTATATATGATTACTATCTTTTTAAAAATGCTTGCTTACACAGTTAGAATCTGAACAGTTGTTTACAGATTGTTTTTGGTGTTATAAATAGACATGGCTTGCGGGTATTTATATATGGCATATAGATATTGATAGTTAGCAACCCCGGGGGGCTATCAGAAGAAATTGCTGGATTGGATATCAGATATGAGAGGGAAAAAGAATGAATCTGGCCTGAAATGGCACGGTCACATTATTTGTCATGTTGTTGGTTGTTTATTTCTTCCTGTGGGGTAGTGCACTATTTTTAAAGTGGTCTTTCAAGTGTTCTTAAGCAAAGACAATGGTTATACAGACCTGTATACACTCAAAGAACCACATGAATGGTTCTTTGCGTGGTCAAACTGCTCCTCTCTATGATGGAAAAGCTGTTGTATAAGGTTTTAAAAAGAACATTAAAATGGTTATATAAAGAAACAAAGGGTTCTGCTAAGTCACAGTACCTTTTTTGATACTTTAGAACCCTTTTTGCTATTAGTGGGGTGTTCTAAAGCTCAGTAGCTTTCTATCAGATCAGAAGCAGCATTGGGAATCAGTATTAGCAAAAGAAAAAGTGGTATTGCGCCCTCTCTAAGGCTACGTTCACATTATAAGCCTCCTTGCTGAAATCCGATTTTTTGCTCAAAACCCATCTTTGACACAATGGTTCACAATCGTTTAGATAAGCGATTAAAATCAGTCATTAATGTGAACAAAACAACGTCCTGAAATGACCCACGTGTGCACATCCTACTCAGTAACGGCACGGATACGTATCTGATCTAGGACCACATATAAAGGGGCTCAGATTTGCATGTCCACACAGCCCTGAAAACATCAGATCTGAGTCACATTAGGGCAAAAAATCGGATTTGTGCCACTTCAACCTGGTAATGTGAACATAGCCTAATTTTAAACGGATCCCAAGTAAAAAGCTTACAAATTTCAAAGCTGAGGATGATTTCAATGTGTATTTGTGCATTTCTTAACAATACCAAACTATGACAGCCATTGCACTGGTCACTGATATCATGAAAGGAAATTCTTACACAGTCTCAGTCCTGCAGATGACACGCGCCGACTAACCTAAGTGATGGATGACCAAATGACCTTTCGCGTGAGTGTCTGCCTGCAGGCAGTGAGGCTACACTGACATTAACATCTCACAGCACAGAGGGTCACTGTATGTGTTGATACAAGAGAAATCTGTCAGGATGAACTTCGTGAAGGAGTGATTCAGCCAGCAGGGAGGGTGATGTCATCACTGAATGATTTAATCACCCATTTGCTGGTGAGCACACAGTCAGAGTAGTGAATGAATGAAATGAATGCTTTGAAACACACTTAAAAAAGATGGCTCTTCAAAGGTTCCTTGGTAAAGGCAATGGTTATATATCTATTTAGAACCATGAGTTCTATACAGAACCATTTGCATGCGTAAATGGTTCTTTGAATGGTGAAATGGTTCTTCAGATTGTGTTGTATACAGTTCTTTTTGAAAATGGTTCTATATAGCAACAAAAAAAGTGTTCTGCTAACGTTGTGATGCCAAGCCTGTAACAATAGAAGAACCCTTTTTTGGTGGTATATAGAAAAGGTTCTGTATAAAACAATATACAACACATTCTCCATCAGTCTAAAGAACTCATGGTCCTAAATAAATCATTCCTTTAACTAAAGAACCCTTCTCTTTTAAGCATGAATGTACCGGTTCCAGCATGTTCTTTGGCATTCAAACATATCAAGCTTCCCACATGTTCTTACGTCACCTATTAGTTTGGAACATGAAATATAGATATTCAAAGTCATAATAAACTGCAAAAGTATTGTCAGTAAAGCTACAAAGATAATCGGATAGATTGGATAGAACCATGACCACTCAAAGAACCCTTTACATGACTGAAGGGTTCTTGGCATCACAAAGGGATATGTCATGTTGATGGAGAATAAGCTGTAGACGGAAGAATGTTCTATATAGCACTAAAAAGAGTTCTGTTATTGTTACAGTGTCAGGAATATTGCTTCTTTCAGCTGATGATGTTTATACTCTCTTAAGCAAGCAGAGAGAAGAATTACAGATTCCTCTCATCCAGTGTTCCATCTTTTCCAACCAGTTCCTTCTGGGAGATGCTACAGATCTTTAAAAACTAAGACAACACGCTTTAAGAAGAGATTTTTCCAATCGCAATAAGGTTACTACACTCTACCAAGTACACAATATGTAAACAACAACGTAAACAATATACAACATTCAGTTCATCTATATAGAACCATGGGCGTGCTTGAATTGTTCTTTGCAAGCCTGGCACTGTAACAACAGCAGAACCCTTTTAGTGCTATATAGCACCCTTTTCAGAAAAGTTTCTATACAGAACCATCTACAGTACATTCTCCATCGATTTGAAGTACACTTATCATGCAACGGGTTCTTTAAGTGGTCACGGTCCTACACAGAACCACTGTCTTTCCTAAAGAACCCTTGACGATTCATCTTTTTTAAGAGTGTAGTGTATATCATTATAGTCTGCCCATAGGATTTCAATGCACAGATACTAAATGCTGTATATTGCACTGTATATTGTTTTACAGTATATATATTGTATTGTTTGTGTGTTCTGTACTACAACACCGTTGAATTACATCTTGATGCACTAGATATAATTACCACCAACATGTCCTGTGGCAATAAAAGGAATCAATCAATCAATCAATCAATCAAAGCCCTCTGAAAGATTTTTAACAATCCACTTTGTGTGAAATGTTCTGACTAAACATTTAGCGCTATAAAAAGGACAAAGTGGTCGACATGATTTGCATCACGAAGCAGCTTTCTATGTCTATTTTGGTTCCACAGAACACAGTTACTGTACCGTCGCCATGGAGGGCATTAGCCTAACGTTACTCCACACACTTCACTAAAACATCCACTCAGGCTGAAGAAAATTACTTCATTCAAATGTGTACTTGGGTTCCACATGAATAAAATATATCACATCAACACAATTGCTGTCTCTCGGTTTACTTCTGGCTGTATTTGTGTTGATATAATATATTTTATTCATGTGGAACGCTTCAGCACATCTGAATGGAGGACATCCACAGCACTGTTTATATCAGTGTTACGTTTCTGTGAGGAGCAACACGTTAGCTTAGCGTTCTCGCACTTCTGGTTCTTACTCGTGTGTGTTTGAGACGGTAAGACAGACAACGAAGCTCAAGTCAGCTTCTTATTCGCCAGTTTCTTGGTCGAATTTCCCCGTTCCACCTTAAATGGTGCAGCAGTTACATTCTGGCGCCTCAAACTGTAACGAAATGTTCCCGTTCCACCTTAAATGGTGCAGCAGTTACATTCTGGCGCCTCAAACTGTAACGAAATGTTCCCGTTACACCTTAAATGGTGCTGCAGTTACATTCTGGCGTCTCAAACTGTAACAAAATTTCTCTGTTCCACCTTAAATAGTGTAGCAGTTACCTTAACCATTTAAGGTGGAACGGGAACACTCGAACTCGAGCTGGCGCATAAGAAGCTGACTTCAGCTACATTTATATCAGTCAGTCTTACCTCAGTCTGTCTTACCTCAAGCGCCAGAATGTAACTGCTGCACCATTTAAGGTGGACCGGGGACATTCGAACAAGAAGCTGGCGAATATTACACGAACTTCAGCCTCGTCTGGTTTAAGGACAAAAATAGCCTAAATACTCCTTAAACGCTGCGGAGAGTGAAAGAAAACGGCGCGTGCTCCGTTCCAGCTACTGCACGCGACGAACATCCACACATGGAGAACAACACGGAGCTAAACCTGAGGGCGGGGGGGGGCCGTGAGGGGCAGTGGCTTCTGTTCAAATCTGTCTTTATTTCAAAGTATTTCACGCGCGCATCACACGGTGGTGCTTTTAACGCTACATGCATGCGCTGGAAATAATGATGCTCTGAATGTGTATTTAAATGTGCCAAATGGCTGCACGTGAATAAAACGCGCTACAGCACAATTGCTATCGCTTTGATTACTTATTTTGACAAGAACTGTGTTGATGCAGCACATTTTATTCACATGCAAACGTCTGAATCAGACATCATTGCTTTCAGAGCGTGCATATATCATGGATCTTATATACAAGCACTGAGGGAGTATTTAAAGGGGAGTTCCACCGATTTTCAACATTTCTGCATAATTCAATGGTTGAGATGTAAAGTCACTCAGAACGGCTTGATGTGGTAGAGAAACGTACTGACTCAGATTTCTTTACAGTGGTGGTGATGGGAACCAGGGGTCGCCATGCCTACAACGCAAATATTGCCATTTTATTTACTATCCAAAACCAGTGAACCAACACGTGTCTTCTGGGTTTTGTATACAATGTTGCTGTTTTCTTTGGGGACTATTTTGCCTCATAACGCCCTTCATGTATCCCTGCGCCATGAATGGATTAAAATTAATTTATTAAAATACGTTTTGGGACAAAACTTTATCACAGAACTACTGCAAAACAGTGTCTTAGACATCAGACAGTGAATTCATAATCATTTCATGTAGTTACTTCCTGTGAGGGAGCTTTTAGAGGCTAGACGTCTGGTTCCCATCACCACCAGTGTGAACAATTAGGAGCATTTCACACCAAACCACACTGAATGACTTTGTTGATGCCAGCCATTCAATTATGCAGAAATTTTCGGTGGATTCCCCCTTAGATAGATAGATAGATAGATAGATAGATAGTTAGATAGATAGATAGATACTCGTGCAGATGCATGGCTGCTGGAAAAAGCAGGATCAGTTTCAGAAGGACTCGTGCATGAAAATGTGAAAACAGCCTGAATTTCGTGCCGCCATTGCCCACACTATTTATCTCCAAATAACAAATAAGAAACCTATATTTCAGTCACGTGACGGCGCTTCTGGGCTCATACAGATGTGCGCGAGGAGAAACACCTCAGCCTAAAGTGGGCAGCCTGGCACACGAGCCAGCAGCCTGGCACAACTGCCAACCCACCAGCCCTTCAGCGCGCCCCATACCAGCAGGACTTTCTCCAGCGCTGTAACGAATTCAATACAAACCCAAAGGGGAAAAAAGCGTAAATGTTGTTTAAATGAGGAGAAGCGCCAGCCCTTTTCCACACACGCACGCGCGCCCAAGTTTGCATGGAAAACGGCAATGTGCTCCAGCGGCTACAATAGGCGCCGTGTAACGATCTATTGTTGGGAGGCTGGGAGCAAAACACAGCACAACCCCGCGATCTCCACGCTGGTGTTGAGATGCAAAGCAGCAAAGCGCCCACGATTCGACTTCGGTTTGGCACATTCTGATTTTTACAGCCCCTCTTTGTTCTGGAAAGGCCAGCTGGCTGTGGACCGTGTTTATATGGACCCCCATTCCGCCTGCACCAACCGGGTTAAGCATCCGTCCCCCGTCCTTGTTGCAGACTGACGGGGGGCTAAAACCGCTCGTGCAATTTGCCCCAGATCACTTCCATTTGGTCAGAAAAGGCGCGCGCCAGCTGCTCAGCGCTATCAGCTGCAGTCCGAGCTGAAAACACCGAGCATCAGTGAGCGAGCGAGTGAGTGAGTGAGTGAGTGAGTGGGGGAAATCAGTGCCCACCGCGGCTAAGCGTGAGCGTGTACGAGCGGAGAGCACTTACCTGGCTTCAAAGTGCAACAGTTACATCCACAGCTTGTGTTTAAGAGCCCCTGCGAGTCGGAATCTCTCAGCTCGGTGTCCTTCGCGCGGATAAGATTCACGAAAACACGGTGCACAGCGTCCGGACGACGAGGCGAAACCTCATAACCTCAAGAAACCGTCTCGCTTTCTTCAGCGGCGTGGGGACGCGAGCTGGCCCTTTAAAGTGGAACGTACCACTTCGACGGGAGGGGTGGCAGGATTGTACTCGCGGGCTAATTGCGAGCAGATCAAGCACTCACCACAACAAATCGAATGGCACACACGCTTTATAATTTTTGGTTAATGAACCTATCTTAGATAACATTTAATTAGCTGAAGCTGTGCTTTTCGTCGATTGTTTTGTTTTCAAGCAACCCTGTTGTACGAAATGGTGCGCGCCCGCCCTTCATTTAGTATTTTCTACCAACCCAGATGTTGCATAGAGAAGACTGGCTGTGGAGACAGACCGAGATGTCCACGATAGCAACAATAAAGTCTGTGTGGCTCAGGTTTTAAAAAGATTAGACCCATTAAAGTGAAATTGTGATGCTTGAAAGCGTTTATGTTCAATAAAACAGAGCAGCTCAACTGTTTTGGTCGTGCATTTTTAACGTATGAGAGTCACATGGCACATCAGCATGAAATCACTAATCTCATACAGATCAGGTGGGCTGTATTTACAGATAGAAATGCACGAGGGTGTAATGACTTCATTGCTCCCTCATACTGCTAGTCTAAATATGGGTGCACTGAGAGAGCTTCATAGCTTATTTTGAGGAGGACAGGCTGGCCTGCCTGCATGAGATTTGCCCTACGCTGTTATGTGCCAGTAATGAAGTTTGATGTAATCTAGCAGCAAATAGCAAAGCAATCCACTTATTCAAATCATGTGGCCTAGTAAATGGCTGTTTAGGGAAAATGACACTCTACAGTAAACAAATGCAGATTCGGCCGACATAAGTAAGCGGAGAGTCATGGCGAAGGATCTGCGCCTGCAGCGGCTTCAATCAAAAGTGCTAATAGTTATCAGAACGGGCCCGCTAATACACTAGCTCACAGCCAGACGCACTTGGGGGATTCCTGGAAGATTGTTTAGTCCCTCTGTTCTGCGTGTTGAGGAAGGGCTGGTCTTTTGATGATGTGAGGAAGGAGCCTGAGTTGCTAACAAGTACGTCCAATGGCCTAAATCAGTGCAACGTCCAAACAGTGCTACTTCACGAGGCCTAAAATAAGTCAGGCAGTGGGTGGGAGAGGTATACAGGGCGACGTTTGGCCTCAATGGCCTTCTCACTCTTGCTCTATAATCCACTGGAGTTTATGTCTGGCATGTCCTGCTCTCTCTCTTTCTTTCTCCCTTTCTCTCTCTCTATATCTCTCTTTCTCTCTCTCTCTCTCTCTCTCTCTCTCTGTAATTGTGTGCATCTGTAATTGAATCCACTTGAGGCGGGCAGCCCATGGCCCTCAGCTCCGTGGCCGCACCGGCCATTCGTGGAAGGAGGGATGGAAGAGGGCAGGGAAACGAGGGAGGGAACCTCCAGAGCAGATGAAAAGAGGAGTGTGGTTTTTCTCTTTGAAAGCAGGGCCCTAATCAGAGTGAAGCACTGTCATGCTGCCGGCCCACATGCTAAAAAAATCCACACTCACATATATATATATACACGCACCATATGCGCTCAGAGCACATGTTCCAAGGATGTTAATGGAAAACTAGATCGCGAACAGTAAACTGGCTTACTTTCTTGTCCCGCTGGGTTTGGCCCCCTTGACCCTCCCTCTGGATTACCTGTGTCATAATTACACATGCACTGACACATTAAAGGTGTTCTTTCCTTCACAAAAGAGATTTACTGATGCGCACATGTTTAACCGATTGAAGACAACCAGCTTAAATGTAGAAAGCTAGTTTCTGCCCAGTTCTGCTTAGCTAATAATTGGCTCAATCAGCATAATGACTTCATATTTGTATCATTCTGAGTTATTTATGTCTTATCAAGCTGAATAAAGCAAGCTTTTCATCATAGCCACTCCTTTTTATCATGCCATGCCATCTCAGGCTGTATCGTGATTTATTGGATTTTCTGGATTATTTGATTTTGCCAGGAAAGTGTCTGTATGGAGGTCGCGCACTGGCTCCCCTGAAGGTCGAAAAGAGAGAGATAGAGAAACAGGCCGGGTGTTTTCGTGAGAGCGCCCTAATGCCACATTTACGGACCTCCGTTCATCCCACTGAAACTTCATTAACCTTGAAAAGAAGCCAAATTGCTCCAAACACTGTAAATAGTTCAGAAAACATCCCAGAACAAGCACATGCTTTTAACCATCCCAGATACTTCAATTTATTTGCGTTTTATTATTTCTTGTCCTCTTGTAAGGTTCTTTTATCAGAGCCGGTTTATGAGGAGTCTGTCCTCTTTCTATTATATCCGTTATATCAAAAACATGATGGCAAAACAGCAGAGGATGGCCGTGAGGGAGTCCTCGATGAATGGGAGTAAATGGAGCTAAACAGCTAAAAATGAAAAGTTAAAATAGTTTCTAATAACTTGCCGAGAACTTTCCTTTCATTTTAGAAAGCAGACTGATGTATTTCACTAAAAAAAGCAAAGAAAATTTACCTATATATTTCCTATTTTCCACAGCAAACAGCAGAACTGCTGTTTGGTTGGCGAGTGGAGCAGCTCATTGGCTGTTTGCGCTCACTGACGTCATGGACGTACATCAGGCACCGTAAATATAACCTATGACTCAAGTTGAAAAGCTCTTAAAAATATAACAGCAGTGTTAAAATGTTTTATGCTGTTCTGTGTTCAGGAAATGAATGTATTCTTTTACATTAAAAACTTTTAAGCATTTATAAACTATGATTTTGCTCAAACGCTCTTTCTTAACCTATTCATTTTAGACTCGCTCAGGAGCGCCCTCTAGCATTTGAGAAACCTGGAAGACGTTACAGGGTGGTAATTCTCCTCTCTACAAGTTCTCTGGATTAATGTACCAAATACATTTTCCAATCTCTCTTTATCTAGAAGGTGCTCTTTGTTACTGTATCTGTACAGTAACAGCAGTCCGGGCTGAAACACTCCTTATAACTTCAACAAGAATGGCTGGGGCTAAACTGCTGTAGGCTGAATAGGTGAAATATATATATATTGAAATATATATGTATATATATATATATATATGATATATTATATATATATATATATATATACATGTATATATATATATATATATATGGGCTGACATCACAAAACAGATGTTTTTGCAGCTTTCTT